TAACCCCGATCTATGTATGAAAAGAAACACAACCGACCTACATCTCACACAAGAATCCTAATCACCTTAAGTAACAAGGTCATGTAACTAGTCATTCTATAACAGGTCATTGGTCCACATCTCACACAGAGTCAACACTTATATCACCGGATAACTGGCTGTTCTCCCCTACGTGCATCTAAACCCGCGAAACGGTTCGGTGAGAGGACTACACGCAATCCGATTTTGGTCTGGTTCTAACTCAAGCAAAACTCAGGTGACGAAACTATTTCACTGACCAAGTGCGAAACAGTTCACTTGGCCTAACAAACTAACCCCAGTGCGAAACGGTTCACTGGTGTAAGTTTGGAAGATACATCAACAACCTTATCCGATCACATGAACATGGACTTCCCCATCCCAACTCTTCTCGTCTTTCTAAATCAACCATAAACCTCATTGAAACTTGGGTTCACCACCTAAATTCAGTCAACACACCCACACATGTCATGAACTACTAAGGGTTCTCAAACACAGCATGGACAATACATAGCAGACATGTCAAATACATTACATAACTGCAAAACGTGAAATGTTATCATAAAGAGTAAAAACATACATACAGTCCGGTTTTATCAATATCTTGTTATCCAACCCTCTAAACTACTCATACAAAATCATAAATTACTTAAAATCCAAAATAGATAATTTTTTTTTACAAATAAGATAATTTTTTTACAAATAAAATCCTTTAAATCATCATAATTATCAAAAATGATTCTTTTTCCAAAATCATTCCTTTAAAATTATCATAATTATCAAAAATATAATTCTTTTGCCAAATAAATTCTCATAATTTACTATAATTCTTCTGAAAGTATTACTCATCATATTACTATAAATTATTTGATATTAATCATCAGTCAATCCCACACAGATAATTATAACACAAATTAATATGCAGATAATTCATAACAAGTATAAAATTGTGTAATTAACAACCTGAGCAACGAAATCTTGCTCCTAATAAATATACGATAAATCTAAAATTTATAATAAGTAAACAATCGAGAAGAGGGATCTTGCTGCTAATAAACATATGATAAATTTGAAATTTATAATAATTAAACAACCGGGGATAGGGATCTTACCTCGGATTGTGTCGAACGATTCGACGTCGACGCGCGAGTCTACGAGTGAGGCGACGGCGATAAGCGGTTGCGCGGAGGTTGATGGCGGTCTAGGGGCTGTCAAACGAGTCGTCGGCGAGCGGAGGAGGAGGCGTTGGGTGGTGGTGCTCGGCTCGGCAAAGGGGGCAGCGGGGGTGAGTGGAGGAGAGAGAGACCGGAGGGTATGGGGCTGTGGGCTGCGAGAGGACGAAGAGGGAGGTTGGCAGGCGGGTGCCTGGAGGTCGGGCTGGCGGTTGGTGGGGGGAGAACGGTTCTGAGCCTACACGAGGGGTGTTGCAGGGCGATTTGGGCTCGGGCTTAGCTGGAGGTGGTGCAGGCGGAGTGGGGCTCGAGCTGCAGGAGAGAGGCACGGACGAGGAGCTTGGGCTTGGGGCAGCAACGTGGAGGAGAAGGAAGAGGAGGTCGGGGGTGTGGTTGAAGAGGGCGACTGTAGGCGAAAGGGAAGGAGGTGGATCTGGAGGTAGGGCGGACGGAATCTGGTGGAGGAGGGGATGGGTGCTCAAGTTCTTGCTGTCGGGGATTCAGGGCGATGGCTTGACGGCGAGAGGGGAAGGCCCGGGGCTGGGGGCATGAAGGAGATGGACGGGGTGTGGTGGGGATGTGGGGTGGGGGGGTGGCTGCCGACCGAGGGAAGTTGGGTCTGGCTTGGCATCGGGAAGCAGAAAGGCGAGGAGAGGGAGGGGAGAGGAATAGGGTCTGAGGAGTTAGAGGAGAGAGGAATTGGGACAACGTGAGAGGGGTAGTTGAGAGAACGTGAGTTTGTGTGTGATAGAGAGAAGAGGATTTATATGTAAATTAATTAGGATTTTGGTTAGGTATTTGAAACAAAAATAATTAAAATAAATAAATACGGGTACTTAAAAATTAAACTAATCATAAAGTAATTATCTACAAATAAAAACGTACCTATTGTGCTAATATAACAGTTGATACAAAATAGTCGGAATACACACATATTGTACAATAAAACAAGAATAAATAATAATAAAAATATATTTACTTACATTTAAAATCAAATAATTATGGGATAATTATATACACAGTAAAACGTGCCAGTTATGCTAATACGACAAATAATGTGTAATAGTAGAAATAATACAACAAATTATACAAATAATACGTAATTAATAATACAAAGTATTATACGAAATAATACGTAATAATATTAATAATACAACATATTATTAAATATGATACGTAATAGCATCGACAACACAACAGATTAATCCAAAAATTTTTACTGCACTAAATAAATTTATAAATATCTAAATCATTTAAATAATTATAAAACGTGGATTTTAAATCATAGAAAATCCTAGAAAATCGAGAAAATACAAATACTTTTTTAAAAATAATAATTAAATATTTTTTAAAATACTAAAAAATTATTTTAACTGGTATTAAAAAATCATGGTCCTTACAATGAAGAAACTTTGTACTAGTTTTCTCCAAGTAACTTGGTAGTTATGTGGCCTAATCTGGACCCTACATCTATATTTGAGTTGGTGAAAGATAGTTAAGGCTCTATCTTTGAGATGTGATGTAGGGGTCAGTCCTTACAATGAAGAAACTTTGTACTAGTTTTCTCCAAGTAACTTGGTAGTTATGTGGCCTAATCTGGACCCTACATCTATATTTGAGTTGGTGAAAGGTGGTTAAGGCTCTATCTTTGAGATGTGATGTAGGGGTCAG